AAAAACATAATATTATTGAAATCATAATTAGGTAATTAAATTTGTTTGTTTAAAAATTCCTTTGTCGATATCACTTATTACGTCAGCAAGACGTGGCAAAATCAGTCCTCGAAAACGAGGTCGGCATTCGGCAATGCCGGGCTAAATGCAAATTTTTGCCCACCTTAATTCACCCAAATTTTGGTAAGAATTTTTTATGCTGGTAGCTTTTAAAATGTCAGCGAATTCGATTAACTAAACACACTACGGTGTAAGGTTTAAAAACTGACGGGTATTGTGTATATACGTTAGATGTTTGAAGATCAAATTTCGCGCGTCTGGAGTTAAAATTTGGCTCCAACTTTCGAATTTTCCGGCTGGAGGTAACGTTCCAGTTATATTCCGATTTCAATGATTCGTAAATGCGTGATTAATAGTGCTCCAAGACGTGGAACAGATTTTAAGAAATGCCGAGATGTACCGACCTAGGTCAGATTTAGGTCGGCCCTCTTTTGCCGACCTCAATTTTGACGGTTTTGACTTTTCGAGGGCTGCAAAATGGATGCCGACAAAGGAAAAAGGTCGCTTCGCGCAGAAAAATTCGCTAGTGGAAAACCGACTTAATAGAGGGTAATAAAGCGCATTTAAACATGCACATTTACTATAGATGGCCCTGAAGGGGTAAAATGGGAACTGGGATTGATCTATTTTTAGACTGGGAAAATGGGATTTGGGTTGCTGGGACTGGGATTTGGCCACTGGGAATGGGAAATGAAGTCCTCAAAAATGGGAATGGGATTGAAGTATTGTGAGTCGATTCCCAATTTTGATCCGTTTTTGGTGTCTTTAGTCATGATTTTTGTTGTTAACTATATTATTCAAAGCATTACCTGCGAACAGACATACACTGGCGCCCACTTTTGGGTTTTCTGATTATGCGTGTCTCAGAATGATGCAAATGCCGGCCATTTCCGGGATTCAAATTTAAAAATTTTCCGTGCCTTCGGCCCCCCCCCCCCCCCCCAATATTTCATAAAGTGTCCGCCACTTGCACACATGGTGGCTTAAAAGGTCTTAAAACGGTTTATTCTACCGATAAATAAATGTTTTTTATTGAATGGGATTTCAATAACTCGGACTGGGATTTCTAATAAAAATCCAACTGGGACTGGGATTTTGCCAAAATTTCAGGTGGAAAATGGGATTGGGACCCCCCCCCCACACACACACACACACTTCAGGACCCTCACTATAGGCTAATGACTCGGCAAAATTACCAAACAACAGTCGGCAAAAGATCACTCACACACCCCCACTCGAAGAGGGTTAGCGCCGCCCCTGACTGAAATATCGAAATTTAATACGTATGCGAGCAGGCTACCCATAGCAAAGACAGATAAGTAGTTTATGTCTGGTATTGTATTCTCTTCTACTTACTGGGGTTTCTTACTGAGATTTCACTCCAGTTATAAAGTGAGGTCATCGGCGAAGGAAAAATATTTCAATTTCCGAAAATCAAAAGTAATTCAGGTGCAAAACGTTATATTAATGACTTGCAACCAATCTCCTCCCGGTACACACCAGACAATGTTCATCGAAAAAATCACAAAATAGACATGGTATATCTATCATGTGATAAATATTCTTTTGTGCCATGCCATCTGACATGGCGGGTGACGTGCAAGTCAAGAATAGAGAAAATGTAAAAATCAGTCCAGTCCAACAGTCCAGTCCAGTCCAACTGTCCAGTCCAGTCCAACTGTCCAATCCAGTCCAACTGTCCAGTCCAACTGTCCAGTCCAGTCCAGTCCATGTTTTGTACTATGCCAAATAGAAATAGGCAGAAGCTTCACTGGAGTCGGAACCTTTGAAGTTTTTGTGCCGGCGCATGTTACTTCCGGATCTTGGCCGCCATGTTGAAAGCAACCAACTCTGGTCCAAAACCACTCTAAAACATTATAAACTATAAATATGGCGAAACTTGTATTTCATAACTTTAAATGGGTATATCGTCGTTATTTTATCGTGGATGTCATTGAAATTTTCAGGACGTACTAAAGAAAGGTAGATTATTCATTTTATTATAATAAAAGCTTATTGAATGATGCTAAAATTGTCATTTTAAACGCATTGCAAACTGTATGTGCTGTTTTGGCACCGATGGATATATACGCATTATGTTATTTTTCTGAATGTAGCTTGAAACTATTGGAACTACTATTCAATTTAGCTTAAAGAAAAATGCGTCATGTCTTGTTTTTAGAACGCAGTAGGTTGAATTTTTTAATTTTAGGCGCATATTATACTGTGAATATCTTTATAATTCGTACTACTATTCGTACTAAATTATATACGTGATCAGTGAAAGGGGATGTATGTCTTTGTACTGGGCTTCATTTCGTAATTAACAAAAAAGTTTTTGGACTAAACTAAGTAAACTGCGCGAGTAGAATCCATTTTCACCAGAACTGGTTTATAATTTGTAACTTTGATATTAAACTTTGATTGCTGGACCATAGTGGAAAGTTCGTCTTCGCTTCCGCAGGAGATTACCGCTGCGGAAGAGGTAGGCTACCGCAAGCGCAGTTAAACTTAAGTCATCAAATGTTTGGCTTTCCTCCGACGCAGTGGTGTGGCCTGCAGGCCTTCATTGGGGGAGGGGGGCGAAGCCACTGAGCTCTACTATATATATCTGGAGATCGTGCTCCCATATCTCGTCAAACAAAAAAGTGTCCGCAAAAACATGGCGGATTTCGAGCTCCGCGTCCACTATTTTCGGGCGATTTACCACTGACCACATAATATTTTTGAAAGCCACCTGTTTTCGCACCCCCCTGGATGCAAAAAGTATACACTGTGTAATTATTAAACTATCAAGTTTCACAACTTTATATTTTGTGAACATGCCGCGTTAATATTGCTCGGTTTATGGTTGTCACAACTCCTTTGACAAAGACGGACTGTATTCACACTGGTAAGGAAATATTATTTTATGCTTAGATATCATTCGAGAAGTTTTTTCTGCAAATGACAATGTAAAGCAAAAGGTAGTTTATGTTTTGTTCACGTGCATATGTCACCAGCTTTTCTCCACTATGGCTTCTTTTCTGAGGTTTTTGCATGCAGTTTGTTTCATTCAAATATTATATTTCCATTGTTTCTTGTGATGTTCTTGTGTGCGTTTTTCCTACCTACTGTACAGTGTATTTTATAGGCCTGTTTGTATTTATGAAAGCGTATGAAAGCATATTGTTATTGAATTTTTTCCCTTCACATATTTAAGCATTCCTGATGCAAAGAAGCAGGGAGTCCAGGTACGCCGGAAAGTCGATAATTGGGGGGGGCCAGATATTCATATATTCGTGTTCACAGAGTGTAAAAACAATTGCTTTCACAGTAAATAAATGATGCAAAACATGAATATATGAATATCTCCCCCCCCCCAATTATCGACTTTCCGGCGTCCCTGCAAAGAAGCATCCAGAATTGTACAGCATATGGGTTGAGTATATGAATAAACATGCGCCAGTGAAGTCTGTTCCTGCGAAAAGTAGTCGTTTGAGTTCAGATCACTTTAGTGCTGATATATATGAGATAAAGGGCAAAAGCCAGAAATTAGTATTGAGACCGGATGCTAATACCAACAATAGTTACACAAAGGTTTGCTCAGGTCATTGGTGTGATTTAAAGTGTTATATGTAACAGTGTGCATGATTTACATTCTTTGCTAAGGGACAAGTCATTATTAATGCCGGGTAGGGGGCTGGAGGAAATTTTTATGAATAGGAAAAAATTTTCACGACCCCTTATTTTTCTAACAAACTATTTTACCCCCCCCCCCTTATTCAGGTAACATATTTCATAGGCCCCCCTCCACCCCAATTCTGAATTCAATTACTCTAAGTCAGTTTCGTAACCATTTTTTCTGCCCTGAAAATAAGGAATATTGTAAATATTGAAAATGATAGCCAAGTAGATAATTCAGATTTTATACCTGAAAAGTTGTTGGTCCTCAAACAAAAACCCCACAAATCAGACCTACTTTTACTAATTGAAAAAAATACATTTGTGTCTGGTGGAAGCATTACTGTATATTGAAGAGATGGCAGAAGAGACTGTCAACAACATGCAGAAACAGAACATGTGAAAGAAGTCCACTGTGTTAAAAGCAGGACAACAACTGTCAATTGAGTCTTGCATTTGCAAATGCAGTGCATGACCCTTTAGACAAATTCTTTGGTGATGATGAGGATGACAATTTCCATATACAGTGCCTAGAACACAACTTTTAGGTTCAATATATTGGGCATTACTGTTCAATGTATGTATACTGTATATATCCATCACTCTTTTGATATTGCATGTTACAAACTATTCCATAGATTTTATTTTTTGCCCCCCCCTATATGTTCAAAATATTTTCTGCCCCCCCCCCTTCACTGGTCAAAAATTTTTTGTGGCCCCTGTATATTAAAATTTATTGTTACATTTACTAGGAATGGTATGCTGGATGTGTTTTAAAAGAGGGCATACAAAAATTGTGTGCCCAAATTGAACAAAAACCCACTCAGACAGTTGTTCAAGAACATAATTGGCACAATTGCCATGATATTAAATTCACTAAGTAACTTTGTGTATGTTATTAAATATAATGTGTGAATTTTGTGTGAGTGTTGTGTGTTAATTTTAATTTATTTATTAGGCCATTAATAAATATTCTTGGTTTGAAAAATATTTTAGGGGGGGATGTCCCCACTGCTGGTCCCACCAAAATATATTGAAGTAAATATGACATCAAATACTATTTTATTAAAAGCAATAGCTATGTGCGTGTTTCACTTGACATAATTTGGGACAACCCGAGAATACCCAAGTTATGGAATTATAACAAAATAAAACATGGGTATGAGACCAAGAATACTTATTGATGGCCTGTAATAGTAATATAATAATATTGTATATATTTTTAAATTAAACTTTTTAAATGTTGAATAAATCTAATTTGTAATGAAAATTAATAATTCACATAAGAATATGTTTAATAAAATAATATATAATTATTGTCTGGCGTGCTAGATCCTTAATTAACTAATCCTTTGCCTGGTCAAACAATATGATTCTATTGCCATGAATCGCCATCGAATATAACAATGATTCCAGTGACAAACGTAGAGCCATATACATTTGGGTATTAATTAGTGCAGATTTACTTTCCCCATAATGTGCACAGCATACATTGTGAGTAGACATGATCAACAATGTGCAGTTTCCATAATCTGAAAAATACAAACAGCAGTAAATATTTAGATGATACATACATAAACAGACATAAGTTTCGTTTCAACAAAGCATGGCTGTGTTCATAAATTTATACATTAAAATTATATGTGTAGTAGAAATGCAAAAGGAACAACATACTTTTTATACAATTTGAAAGAAAATTATGCACATATCAACCGCCTGCCCGGGGGGGTACACCCCCGGGACAACTGGGGGGAAACGAGGGGGAATTTGGTATTTTATCTGTGTGTTCTGCCTGTGAACCCCGGGGAAATTAGGGAGTGGTCATTATTTATGGGGGGGGGGTGTTGGGAAATGGGGAAAATAAGGATTGAAAACTTTTTGACCCCCCCTCCAGACTGAAGGCAAACTTTTTGTGCCTCCTCCCTCATAAAAGTAGAAACTTTTCTGACCCCCACCCCCCAGTGTGGATTGAAAAATTAACAGCAATGAAACAGGTGTGCATTGCATGTAAAGTTAGATATTAGGACAATCTGTTTAATCTAGCTCATGATGTTTTACCCTGGTGAATATGATTCAACCATATGTGATTAAAAATATATATTATGTGTTACTACTTTGCAATGCAACATTTGTCCTACCATAACCCTAACCCATGACCCATCTTCATACAGCAAAATGATTTGAACACAGGGTTTTTTTAAGAACTTGTCTGGGCACCAACCATGGTAGTGCCTCACAATCATGGGAGTCGGGCCCACTAAGTCTAACAAGCTTGCTACCCCCTGAGTGACCCAGTTGTGATATTTACATAAACATACCATGCAAATACACTTAACTGATCAGATTCAGTCTATCAATGCACAATGTAACGCTGTATATCCAAAAATCTGTTTCAGAAAATGCTCACATTTCAGTTCTAGGGGTGGAAAAATACAAAAAATTTTCTGGGGGAGAATCCCCGGACCCCCCTACTAGTACATACGATACCACACCAAACTTTTTGTCAACAACCATCTGTCATCTCTCCACACTCAATATAGTATGGTCCCTTTTTGTAGATGCCCACCCCCGAGCAGGGAAATTTTGAAAATTTTGAGTCTCTAGATTGTTGGAAATAGCATTTTCAGAGTCTTCTTTTTTGCTATTTGTGATTATAGAAATCAAAACTCTAGACATGGTATTTAACTTTTTTGATCTCCCCTATTTATAAGGGTAAAACTTTGTTTCCCCCCTCCCATTTCCCAACCCCCCCCCCTCCCCATAAATAATGACCATCCCTTACAAACTTCGCAATAATAGGACGATGGGGGGAGGGGAAGTAGGGGACTTTGACGTGACAATTTGAATTTTATAAAGGAAGTACATAATTGGTGTGAACTCAAAATCGCAGGCTCACACAGAAAAATATCGATCGCCAACTTATTATTTATATTTTGTAGTGGTCTTGCTAAAATTTGAATAAATAAATAAATACGGAATACATGAGTGCCATTGTGATACCCCAGTTTGTATAATAATTTTTAATTGTTTGTATGCTATTTATATTATGAACTACTTTATTGTAAGCCCAGGGGAGGGCAGTTTGACTTACACATTTCCCGGGGGAGGAAGGGGGAATTAATGCATTAGAATCATGTTTTTGCAAAGTCCCGGGGGTGTACCCCCAGGGCTGGCCATTGATATGTGCATTATATACAAGTAGTAATCGAGTTGAAATATTATATAATAGTAATAAATTATAGTATATTTCAATAAATGAGTGTATGGTACAGTACAAGTGTTTCATTAAAATTTTGAAAAATGCCTCACCTGTAGTGCTTTTCAGCTTTTGTTGTTTATTTATTAACATATGGAAACAGAATCACCATATATATAGTCCTCGAAATTTCAAAAGTTTGTTTCCCATCATGACAATTATTTCAATTTCTCGTTAATTTAGTAATTTATTACTCATTTTCTACGGCTCCACACAAAATACTGTAGGTCTGCACCTACCGATCTGCACCTACCGATACTCCAAAAGCATACATGCGACATGGGCAAAAATACCACCATTCGTTCAGCTCATTTATATTATCTGTTTGGATCATCATTTATACATTTCACAGCAGAAATTGTGGAGATAGCTGCCCGAATGAATTAAAGCTCCAGCTTGAACTTGATATTAGTTGGTAAAGTTCAGAAGAAACCTTTTACACCTATATGTAACTATAAATATTTACTAATCTTCTCCAATGTACTCCTTTTTTAAAAATTATAAAGATCAGTGGCTCTCTGGTCAGGGGGGAGTGGGAAATGTCGCCCGCACGCATTTGAGCTGTGGTCAGTTAACGTACCATGAGAATAGTGGACGTGGACACTGAGCTCTACTATATATATCTGGAGATCGTGCTCCCATATCTCGTCAAACAAAAAAGTGTCCGCAAAAACATGGCGGATTTCGAGCTCCGCGTCCACTATTTTCGGGCGATTTACCACTGACCACATAATATTTTTGAAAGCCACCTGTTTTCGCACCCCCCTGGATGCAAAAAGTATAAAGTTCAAAGGTTCTTTCCACTTTGTGTAATTAACTATCAAGTTTCACAACTTTATATTTTGTCAACATGCCGCGTTATTGCTCGGTTTATGGTTGTCACAACTCCTTTGACAAAGACGGAATGTATTCACACTGGTAAGGAAATATTATTTTGTGCTTATATATCATTCGAGAGGTTTTTTCAGCAAATGACAATGTAAAGCAAACGGTATTTCATGTTTTCTCCACGTGCATGTGTACACCAGCTTTCCTCTACTATAATGGTCATAATGCTGTGCTGAGGGGTTATATTACTACCTTAAAAAATAAGCAGAAACTCGACGTTTCGATCGAAGGCCCTTCGTCAAGAGCCTTCGAAGGGCCTTCGCTCGAAACGTCGAGTTTCTGCTTATTTGTTAAGGTAGTAATATAACCACTCAGCACAGCATTTTCACATTGGTACTACCCACACTGGTACATACAGTTTTAGTATATATTCCTCTACTATAGCTTCTTTTCTGATGTTTTTGCATGCAGTTTGTTTCATTCAAATATTATATTTCCATTGTTCCTTGTGATGTTCTCGTGTTCGTTTTTCCTACCTACTGTACGGTGTATTTTACGGGCCTGTTTGTATTTATGAAAGCATATTGTTATTGAATTTTTTCCTTCACATATTTAAGCATTCCTGATGCAAAGAAGCATCCAGAATTGTACAGCATATGGGTTGAGTATATGAATAAACATGCGCCAGTGAAGTCTGTTCCTGCGAAAAGTAGTCGTTTGTGTTCAGAGCACTTTAGTGCTGATATGTATGAGATAAAGGGTAAAAGCCAGAAATTAGTATTGAGACCAGATGCAAAACCAACAATAGTTACAAAAAAGTTTGCTCAGGTCAGTGGTTTGATTTTAAAGTATTATACAATTTAACTTGTTGTTTTACTGTTCTTACCTGTTGTAACAGTGGCACTGTACATGATTTACATTCTTTGGTAAGGGACAAGTCATTGTTAATGCCGGGTAGGGGGCCGGAGGAAATTTGTATGAATAGCAAAAAATTTTCATGACCCCTTATTTTTCTAACAAAATATTTTATCCCCCCCTTATTGAGGCAACATATTTCATAGCCCCCTCCCTCCACCCCAATTCTGAATTCAATGACTCTAAGTCAGTTTCATAACCATTTTTCCTGCACTTATGCATACTCAGTTTACTTGCAGCTGTAATGCATCAGTCAATTCTATCATTACCCATCCCCCCGGGCATTTGCAATTTAAGTTGACAATTCCTGGGGGTCGGGAAGGAAAAGCGTAGCAATGCCCCACCCCCAGACAAAAAAAGATGACAAATGCCCGGCCCCAGGGCACACTGACTCATTTATAGAATGTATTTTAGACCTCAAAACTTCCATATAAACAGTATTAGCTTCCTTGTATAAAAGCTATAGCAGTCATCCCAACTTTTGAACATGAAAATTGTAAATATTGAAAATGATAGCCAAGTAGATAATTCAGACTTTTAATACCTGAAAAGTTGTTGGCCCTCAAACAAAAAACCCACACATCAGACCTACTTTTACTAGTTGAAAAAATACATTTGTGTCTGGTGGAAGCATTATATTGAAGAGATGGCAGAAGAGACTGTCAACAACATGCATAAACAGAACATGCCAAAGAGTCGACGATGCACTGTGTTAAAAAGTGGAAAACAGGACAACAACTGTCAACTGAATCTTGCATTTGCAAATGCAGTGCATGACCCTTTTGACATATTCTATGGTGATGATGAGGATGACAATTTCCATATACAGTGCCTAGAACACAACTTTTAGGTTCAATATATTGGGCATTATCAGGGGCGGATAAGCAACATCTGTGTTACCATAGTTAATTGAGGAGATGGTTTGGAAACTCGTTAGCATTACAATAAAATCACAATAAACCTCATTATCTATCTTGTTCAGGCAGTATGCAAAAATGTGGTCTTTCATCGTCACGTGCGTATTGTATTTTTCTCAAGTCAACCAATACGAATGTTCAAAATGTCCTATTGTTAAAGTCATGGATGGGCAATTGGACAAAACCGCTGCTATTCGTTAGTTGAGCAAAAATACAATACGCATGTGACGATGAAAGACTACATTTTTGCATAAACCTGAACAAAAACATAGATAGTGAGGTTTATTGTAATGCTAATGAGTTTCCAAACCATCTCCTCCATTAACTATGGTGTTACCGGGCTCCCGGTGATGTCATGACCAAGCGGAATATCAGCGTGTGACTTGAATTATAATTAAGTTAAAGAAAAATTATATTTCTATGTTATATAAAGATAATCCTTACCAAATATTAGATTTCATATTATCATACTGTATATATAGCTTGCAATTTATGCTTCACCGCAATAAAAGTCTTCCCTTGGCATGTTTTTAATATATGTTTGAGTAAAGGCCCGGTCACACTACACAACGATAACGATACGATAAATTGTAAACACGCGATAATTGGAAAAAAAACTGTGTTAGTGTCCACACAACAACGAAAATGATAAAATTATCGTTAGACGATAACGATAACGATTTTAAAATCGCTCACCTGAGCGATTTTTTTTTCAGTCGGACGATAACGATAAATTTTTGACCAATCAGCGCGCGTATACAAGTTATCGTATCGTTATCGTTGTGTAGTGTGACCTGGGCTTAAAAGTTAATTTAAATTATTGAAATACAAATTTCATACGATCGACTGGCATTATTCATATAATTATGTAATCGTTATATTGCCATGGTTTTCTGCCTGCCTGCCTGTGAGCGGGCGTTCAAGCTATTTCCAGGCTCTTTGATAAAAATTCGAGACCAAGGATAAGCTTCTTATCCATCGAACTAAAATCTATTTTAGTACAAAACTAGGGGCCCATTTTTTGTACAAAAATGGGGGCTCACTGGACAATCGCCCGGTAGCCCGCTGGGCTAATCCGCCCCTGGGCATTACTGTTCAATGTATGCATACTGTATATATACATTACTCTTTTGATATTGCATGTTACAAACTATTCCATACATTTTATTTTTTGCCCCCCCCTCCCCTTTACATGTATGTTCAAAATATTTTCTGCCCCCCCCCCCCTTTCAATGGTCAAAATTTTTTTGTGGCCCCTCTAAATTTCCTCCGGCCCCCTACCCGGCATTAATGACTGGTCCCTAAGGCAGCTTTTTGAGGGTATTTTATATAGAGTTGTTTAGGAGAAGGGTTATTTGTTTATTAATTAAAATGATGTGATCAATGTTTATAAATAAATGCTGCATATAAATTTGTTAATTTTAAAAAGAACAGAATTAAATGCAACAAATAACTTAACATATAAATATTGTCATCGATGAGAGCAAGCAATTAAAGTTAATAGCAGATTAAAATATTATACATAAATTAATACGGTGCTTTTATTATAATTGACATTTACTCAGTAGATGTTAAACTAGTTTCATATTAATCTGACACTGCAATCGAGCAACGAAAAATTCCTTGGCTCGAGCGGGATTTGAACTCGCATCTTCCGATCTTCGGGTATCTAGACCGCTCAATAGGTAGAGCGGCGGTCTAGATACCCGAAGATGCAAGTTCAAATCCCCCTCGATTCAAAGATATTTTCGTTGCTCGATTGCAGTGTCAGATTAATATGAAACTAGTTTTTCGTACTCTGAGGATGGTTCTGAAACAGTAGATGTTAAATTTTTGCATAACCTAAATCATCTCAGAATGCAGACTCTTTTTAAAGAGTTTTAAAAATTTAAAAAAAAATCTTTTTAAAAATGTTTTAAAAAAATCTCAATTTAAAAAAAAATCTCCTCTTAAATTGAATTAAAGTATGGTAGCAGTAAGACTGGAAGTTTATCCAAGCTAAACAAAGCTGTTTTACATTCAACAATGGGAGGGATTATTATTAATACAGGGGACTGTATTTGAGAAATGACAAATTAGAGAATACATTGGTAGTTTTTATTATTACATTAATTGTTCATGTTTAATAAGATGCAAGTTTTGTTGAATTGATACATGAGAAGACTGGCAAAAAAACCCAGAAATATGAAATTACCTTTTGAGTGAATGAAAATATTATGGAGGCCAAACCCTAAATTTGCATTAATATATTAAAATAAGTTATGGATCAAAATATAATTTATATATAAACTTGCAATTTTTATCTATGGAAAACAAAATGATAATGTAAGATTATTGATACAACCAGGTACCAATTGCAAGGTTGCCCATTGAGAAAGCGGACGCTGTTACTGACACTGAAATGCTGAAAGGAGCGTCTCAAACTAAAGAGTGTGTGCAAGTCATTGAAGACATGAGTGTAGGTGTTGTAAGTATTGCCGGTAAAAAGAGAAAACAATCTGAAGAGATTGTAATTGATGATGAAAGCGGCATTGAGGTAAGCACACCAAAAAAAAGAGCATGTAGGGACAGTGTCATAAGTGTACAACATGATCATACATATTATGTTAGTTCTCCCTGTAGATTGAAAGAAAAAGTAGTTAATTTGCTAGACCAAGTAAATAATCTGAATAGGAAATTGTGCACATCGCAGAAGAAAACGCGTAGGCTTAAGAAAAAGGTAAACTCCTTGACATCAGTGGTAAGTGAACTGAAGAAAGAGAAACTTGTTAGTAGTGATTGTGCTAGTATCCTGGAGACAACTTTTTCTGGGGTTCCTAAGGAACTTATGAAAAGGTTGGTGACGCAAAAGAAAAAGAAAAATGCTGGTGCGTATCCAAAGGAATTACGAACATTTGCTATGACCCTAAAGTTTTACTCTGCAAAAGCATATAAGTATGTAAGAAAATGTTTTGATTTAGGTTTACCACATCCGTCTGTGATCAGTAGTTGGTACAACGTTATGGATGGTGAACCTGGTTTTACCAAAGAAGCATTAACAGCCTTGAAAGCCAAAGTTCTTGCTGGGAAACGAGATGGCCAGGAAGTCCTTTGCGCGCTGATGTTGGATGAGATGTCCATACGCAAGCATGTACAGTGGGATGGCAAGAAGTACCGTGGGTTTGTCGATCTTGGCACTGGCATTGACGACGACTCACTGCCAGAAGCCACCGAAGCTCTTGTCTTCATGGCAGTCTCCGTGAATTCCAACTGGAAAGTACCATGTGGTTATTTTCTGGTGAAAGGTCTCACAGGAGAAGAGAAAGCGAACCTTACGAAAGATTGCCTCACGAAGCTGCACGAAGTGGGAGTGAAGGTGGTCTCGTTCACGTGCGACGGACCAACGACTCACCAAGCGATGTTGAAATTGCTTGGAGCTCGACTGTCTACTGATAATATGCAGGCTTACTTTCCACATCCATGTGATAAAAATCAAAAGATTTATATTTTTTTAGATGCTTGTCACATGATCAAGTTGGTACGTAATACTTGGTCAGACTGGAAAGTCTTGAAAGATAAGGATGGAAAAACCATTGAATGGAAGTTTGTGGAGGAATTGCACAAGCTACAAGAAACCGAAGGTTTACGCTTAGCAAATAAACTGCGATGCGCGCATGTAGACTGGAAACCTCAAAAAATGAAGGTAAACTTGGCAGCGCAGACTTTAAGTTCAAGCGTTGCAGACGCTCTAGAGTACTGCGAAGGTAAGCTGCATGAAATGCCACAGTTTAAAGGCTGTGGTCCAACGGTAAAGTTTATTCGTATATTTGATCGTCTTTTCGATGTTCTAAATTCTAGAAATCCTAAGGCGAACAGTTTCAAGGCACCGATCAGAAAGACGAACTATCAGTTCGTGAAGAAGTTCTTAGATGATGCCTGTAAGTATATCAAGGGTCTGAAGGGGCCTGGGGGTCAATTGATCCTTAATTCAAAACGCAAAACAGGTTTTCTAGGTTTTCTCGTGTGTGTTGAGGCAGTTCATGGATTAGCGAAAGATCTTGTGTGCGGAGAGAACCCGATGATAAAGTATATTCTTACGTACAAGATGAGTCAGGATCACTTGGAGTTGTTCTTTGGCGCTGTGCGAGCGTCTGGAGGATGGAACAACAATCCTACGGCGATACAGTTCAGGGCTGCGTACAAGCAACTGTTGATGAGACACAACATTACAGGAGGAAAAGGAAACTGCGTTCCTCAAGACGACACAGAGATGCTGAGCAATGTTGAAGATCAGAGTAATAGAAAATCTTCAACTGTGGAAATCGACGATGTGACGATCGCGAGAAGATACGACTTGGCTTTACGACCAGAGCCAGGTGCAAATGATCATGATTACTGCGATGTTCCAAACGTTATGGAATTATCCGAGTTCAAGTCGTCAGCAATATCGTATATTGCTGGTTACGTTGTGAGGATGGTAGAGAGAAAAATGCACTGTTTTACCTGCCTGGCAGCGTTGACAACGACGAAAGAGAAGGTTCCTGACCTTTTCGTAGTTTGGAAATCGAATGGCGGTCTGAAGTTGCCCTCCCCGGGGCTGCTGAAGATCTGTGAAGAGACGGAGAAATGTGTGATGAGAATGTTGAACGTGAACCAAGGTGGACTACCACATGGCACGGGACTACCAGACGCAATTGCCACAACGGTATTGCAATACTGTGTAGAACGCGGAGTGTTCAGTTCGTTGAAGCAACATATGTTTGAAACGACTCCTGTAAACAATCACGTGTTCAGCTTGATCAAATGCTGTTGCAAGTGTTATGTGACAATTCGTATGCATCATTTGGGTAAGCAGAGAAATGCTAGAATGCATGAAAAGTTAGTACGCAAGGAGTATTCGAAACTTACGTTGTTCAAAGGACAGTAAGTTTGCGAAGGTGGTCTGTTACTGCACATTTTGCATGTGTTCGAGGTCGTGACCGCGAGTTAATGATACTGCACATATCTTATATGTGTTCGAGGATTAACGTAAAGTTCGCAATGTGTCAATGATACTGCACGTTTTATAAACGTGTTCGAGGGATTGACACGACAAATGACAAAAGTTGTTTATTTTTACATGATGCTCCTATCATAATGCATGTTTATAAAACACAAACTTAATATCAATACAAAGTAAGTATATTTGACGATTCATTTATTCCTGGTAAACGCTATATTAGAGTCTACTGCATAGATACCTTTTTCTTTTTTAGTATTACATCTGAATGTATCCGATACAAGAATTAGTTGCGTGTATACCGTTAACACCTTTCTTAATATCACCAGTATTATGGCCATCAGAAAGCATACCAGTTCTTTATTTTCAAAAAAATTAAAAGATTAATTGTAAGTACAAGTTTTTAGGTGATAAAATCGTTTATGGTTTGGGTGCAGTGTGGGCAGCGAAGTGGAATACGGGAAAATAGGTTAAAATTGTTCCAACTGTCTGAAAAATACAAGTTAAACCTCAAAAAGGCTTTACCTGTATTTTTCAGGCATTTGGAACAATTTTAACCTATTTTCAAGTTTTTAGTTATATATCCGCCAATGACAATGTACACGTACTACCTGTCGGACGTCTTTTTAATATTATGTTTGCTTTATTCTATTTAGGAGAAACGATGCAAAAGGAACCCGGCAACCAACGAACATTTTAGTAAACAAAGGAACACATCCGTACTGGATAGGCATACCAGCATCTCACACCCAGCAACATGCACACCAGCAAATAGAAACGTTCACATGCCACATGCTATTACATGGACCTAAAGTGAATTTAAAACTTGTATAAACACGCTATTCACTTGAAATGCTCTTGTAAAAGTTGCTCTATCAAAAAAGTGAGAAAGCCGGTTATTTCGTAGCGGTTTTCTGTTTTACCAGCTCTAACTCTTGTTTTGTGATTTTTAGACAATTGCGTGACATCTCGTGTGTTACACGCGACGTATGGGAAGGCGGGAAAATTTAATTTTGTGGTTTTCACTGTGGTAAGTTATTTATAAATAGCGAATTTCAACGTTTAAAATTTAAGTTTTCACTAAAAATTGCTGTCACATTATTCATTTCACTTTTAACTTAAGTTCTAAATATTAAGTAATAATTAATTCTTACTTTTTCGGGCAAACCACAGTTTGGTGGTAACAAAAAAACGAGTGTTTTCAAACAAAGTAAACTGAAAATTAGAAGGATATATGTTTTTAAAAAGTAAATTAATTTGGAATTATATATACATTTACCAGTAGTTTATCAATCTAATAGTATTAGACACAGACCAAACACAATTTCAACTTGCTTTTAGGACAATTCAGAGGACGGAGAATTTAAAGAACAGCAATTAGTAAGTGATGATGGGAATATTTTTAAAAATAATGTTTCTGCATGTGTCAAGTTTACGAAAATGCACTCTTATAAAATATGCCAAAAATATAGGGATTATATAGCCATGTTTTTTCTGAGGAAATTTGTTAATAGATTAAATACTTTTCTTTTCAGTGGCTAGCAAAGACAAAGTGAATGGTATGCTTTATATTCTTTCATAAACTACTTCTTGCAAACTAAATAAATTTTCCAACAAGTTTTCCTGCAAATTGCATATCAGTATCATATATCTTTTTATTAATTTTAGATGAAAAAGAAAATAGAATGGGTGTGTATATACTGTTGTAATTATATTATTTAACTCTTTTCGCTTTAGTAGCATATTGCTCATAAGAATTTAAATTAAAGTAATCCTGGTTGTATAAGTCTAAAATTCTTAATAGTCATTTGGTGTCCGGCCAAGTGATTTTGTGAGATTTGATTAATTATTATTGATGAATTTAAAACGTATTAAGATAGATTAGTTGTAACATCAAACTTAATCAAAAGTTTTCTAAATATAGATACAGAATCAAGTGAATTAAAGGAAAAGGATAAAGGTGGTCCTCCTTATTTGTCAAATATTATTTAGTGAGAATTTTTAGTGGGAAATGATAAATTAAATTTCTTTATTTTTAGAAGATGTTTCTACACCAACAAAAAATGAAGAAGGTATATAGTCATTGCTTTTAAAGAGTTATTTATTTGAAATGTGATGCCTTTCATTACAACAACAAAAAATGAGAGAGCAAGCAGAAATGTAAATAGCAACCTTAACTTTGGAGGTAGCTGGTTTATTCTTGTGATATTTGGATTTAATAATGCATTTTTCAATATCTGTTGCAGATCCGCAAAAAAGCAGCAAGAAAAAGGGTACCGTATATGATAAGTTTACAAAGCACACCTAGTTCTATAACCAATCCCAAACATTCCTTAAATTCAAATAGAAAATAATAGATAATTTATATCATACTTTAGGAAGGTGCAGGAAATGTGGGATGAAAGGGCACCACCAAAATGAATGTCATGCAAGTATGAAAAATTTTAAAAATAATTATGATTAGACTCACTCAATATGCTGACAGTATAAGGCAGCTGGCATAAACACAAGCAATGCAGTATAAGTGCTTTAAAAATAGTATAGCTCAAGGTTCATGCAAGTGTTTTAATAATTGCTTTAAACATAATGAATATAGTTTCTTATCAAAATGCTAATTCTTGTATTTAGGGAAAGCACCATTTTTCACTTTACCAATTACAAACTGTACGTGGTGCATACAAATTAATATTTAATATTAAAATTTATAGGAATGGTATGCTGGATGTGTTATAAGAGAGGGCACACAAAAATTGTGTGCCCAAATAGAGGAAAAACCCAGGCAGTTGTCCAGGAACAACACAATTGGCACAATTGCCATGACATTAAATTCACAAAGTAACTTTATGTATGTTATAATGTTGTGTGATTGTTGTGTGAGTGTTGTGTGTTAATTTTAATTCATTTATTAGTTAAGGCCATTAATAAATAATATATTCTTGGTTTGAAAAATATTTTAGGGGGGGGGGGGAATGTCCCCACTACTGGTGCCACCACTGGAAATATCAGCTAAATAGCCAGCATAGCTTCAATAAAATATATTGAAGTAAATATGACTTTTATTAAAAGCGATATTTATGTGTGTTTCACTTGTATAATTTGGGACAACCCGAGAATACCCTTATGGAATTAACAAAATAAAACATGTGTATGAGACCAAGAATACTTATTGATGGCCTGTAACAGTAATATTAATATTGTATATATTTTTAAATTAAACTGTTTAAATGTTGAATAAATATAATTTGTAATGAAAGTTAATAATGCACTTAAGAATATGTTTAATAAAATAATATATAATTATTGTATGGTGTGCTAGATCCTTAACTAATCCTTTGCCTTCATGGTCAAACAATATGATTCTATTGCCATGAATTGCCATCGAATATAACAATGATTCCAGTGACAAACATAGAGCCATATACATTTGGGTATTTATTAGTGCAGATTTACTTTCCCCATAATGTGCACAGAGTACATGGTGAGTAGACATGATCAACATTGTGCAGTTTGCATAACCCGAAAAATACACACAGCAGTAAATATTTAGATGATACATGCATAAACCGACATAAGTTTTGTTTCAACAAAGCAAGGATGTGTTCACAAATTTATACATTAAAATTATATGTATAGTAGAAATGCAAAAGGAACAACATACTTTCAGGGCTGTGCCAAGTGGGTTTTGTGGGGGTGAAATAAAATATTTGGGCCCCCTCCCACTTGGGGCCCCTCAAAAAATTTTTCCAGAAAATGCCCCCCACCCATAGGTGGTACGGCCCTGCATACTTTTCATACAATTTGAAAGAGAATTATATGCAATTAATAGTAATAAATTACAGTATATTTCAATTAATGAATGTACGGTACAGTACAAGTGTTTCATTAAAATTTTGAAAAATGCCTCACCTGTAGTGCTTTTGTTGTTTATTTATTCACATATGGAAACAGAATCACCATAGTCCTCGAAATTTCAAAAGTTTGTTTCCCATCATGACAATTATTTCAATTTCTTGTTAATTTAGTAAGTTACTATTCATTTTCTATGGATCCACACAAAATACTGTAGGTCTCCACCTACCAATAACTCCAAAAGCATGCATGTAACATGGACAAAAATACCACCATTCGTTCAGCTCATTTATATTGTCTGTTTGGATCATCATTTATACATTTCACAGCAGAAATTGTGGAGATAGTTGCTGGAATGAATTAAAGCTCCAGCTTCAACTTGATAGTAGTTGGTAAAGTTCAGAAGAAACCTTTTACACCTCTGTAACTAACATCTCTCTTCCTTTCTTAAAAATGCAGATCAGTGGCTCCTTTTTTTTATACAATCTTTTGTGAGAAAGCCTTGTCATCAAATATGGTTTTCATAAGGGTTCTCAAATAAGAAGGAAATAATTATTTACATAAAATACTGACTATAATTATTGCTATCTACTTCAAACAGAATACAGCATGCAACAAGATAATAAAAAAAAAATTAATAATTAATTAGAAATCTTGAGAAAGTTCAAAAAGTTAATTAAATGGTCAATTAAGTCCACACCTAAAACACTATTAAAGATAACAAGTTTAATATTCATTATATGCTGAGACATATTTGTTTTTAAAAGCTAAAAAGCTACTAGAATATTTAACAAATGGCGAAAGATTATTCCATTCATTAAAAAACATATAGTGCGATGTTTGTTGAACCCAGTTGGTTCTACAAAAGGGGAGTCTTTATACTAACTGTTTATTTCTTGTATCATGTCAGTGTAAATCGCTTCCTTTAATTTCTTCCATATCAAAGTCAACATTATTGTTCAAGGCTTTATAAACAAAAATACATCTGTGGAATTGTCTTCTATACGACAAAGGCTACCACTTCAAACATTGTTAAAGCCTGGCTACTAGAAGCATCGATTGGTTGATCCAACACAGACTTTGCAGTTTTATTATGAAGAATTTGCAGATCATTCATCGGCGAGATACATTGTTTTTGTCACCCCAGACTAAAATCACCATAATCGAGAAGAGACAAAATTAAGCTGTTTACCACCAAAAGCCTTGCATGGAATGGAAGTAGATGTTTGATGCGTTTGAAAATCCCAAGTCTCTTAGTCAATTTAGCTCTAACATAGTCAATATGGTCAGCCCAAGAAAGCGTCTCATTGATAATACTTCAAGATATTTATAGCTATCTTCTCCTCTTTCCAGAATATGATGATCTCTCTGGTCAGGGGGGAGTGGGAAATGCCGCCCGCACGCATTTGAACCGTGGTCAGTTAAAATACCATGAGAATAGTGGACGCGGAGCTCGAAATCCGCCATGTTTTTGCGGACACTTTTCATTTGCGAGCACGATCTCCAGATATATATAGTAGAGCTCAGTGGATTGACCTCTCTCAATCCGATGGTTTGTCTAAGTTCTCAATCCGAATCCGATCCGATCCGAAGATGAAAAAAGTAATCCGATCCGATCCGATCCGAAACAATGTTTATAAAATCCGATCCGATCCGATGCTAAAATTCGTAATCCGATCCGATCCGAACTTAAGTTGTGTACGCTACTACGCTGTACAGCGTGCGTTAATTATTATGAACGTATTTTTTCATGATCATAAACGATATATTGGAAATAATGAATTTCTAGCAAAAATAAGCAGATACGAATCCGATAAAAATTGCAGGGCGATATCACATAATTATGCCTTATAGCGTTCACATTTACAGTACACAGTAACAGCAGTTTATATTTTATTAGAATTAGCATAAAAAAAAACCCAACTAGTCAAAAATGTTTTATTCAGTATAATAAATCATGAGCTTGAGCTAGGTTTACATTTTAAAACATCTTAAAGTTTATCACTAATAAACCTCATTGTCAGGCTTCATGTGCTGTTTTTGAATAGCCAAGGCCCGAGGGGAGATTGGGTGGCATAATGGCATTCGTTATTCGCGAATCGCGATTTCGCGAGCGAGCAAAACGTTACTTTGACTTTGTAGTTTGTAGTTTGTATGGACTATATGGATTATGGAATTACTTTTATGCTCAAAGCCATTGTGAATTCTGATGCCATTTGTAACGCAAAAAGTGGAATACAGCTGCAGAATATAGAACTTTCTCAATTTGTAAAAATATTCGAATAATTCGACGTGATACAAGAAAAATCAAATCCGAACCGATCCGACAAAAAACCTGCAAAATCCGATCCGATCCGACAGAAACAAAACGAAATCCGATCCGATCCGAGTAATTTACTGTCCGAATCCGATCCGAATCCGATCGGATTCGGATTCGCACACCTCTATTTGAGAATTTAACTTTGCAAAACTAATTAAAGCTTTTTTGAAACATATTGGAGTATTGGCAAGTTTTACCATTTAGATATTTGCAAACTAATATTGAAACGGTAAAAGACACTTCATGCATGTGTATACGCGCATTCAGTAATGAGTAATGAGAACTTATATAAGCCATACATTTTCGGATAACGACAAAACGCTTGTGTAACCTTTAGTCGCTCTCAGTGACTAATATATTTTTTTCAGGGGGGAGGGGGCACAAATATATATAAACTTCCAAGTTCCAAAATTATTTAATTACTTCCAAAATGATTTAATTTTAATACATAATATAAACTGACTAATTTAAAGTTTATATATATCTATATATATATAATTCCTATTTTTTTATGTATCCGAGTTTTACGAGTCGACTCAACGGTATATTGAAAACAAGCAATCTGTTTCCACGATACCTTTTGGCTGGGACGATGTCTCGAACATAAAAACGTTAGCGAGTGTGGTCGTGAATTCTTTTAATGGAGTATATATGTATTTAATTAAACCGCCAACTTTGTTAATATATTTCAGTACCGGTACTATATATATATATATATATATATATATATATATATATATATATATATATATATATAGGGTATATTAAGGGTATTATATGTCATAGCAAGTTATGTTGAACCACAGTTACAATATATTATCTATGCAGTTATATGATATAATATAAACTTCTAATATATGGCCCTATATGATTACATGCATATATGAACTATAATGAAATGAATATAAACAAATATAAAGAGCCCCAATGTAATAATATTCTAATCTTCTTCAGTAAACGTAGCTAATTACGTTTAGGTTGTTCCTGATCAATGCATGCATGTAGCTATAATTAAGGGATTTTTAACTGAAATCAGTTTTTCTTCTTTTTTCTTTGAGTGGCAGGCTTGAAATATCCCGACAAATTGTCTTTGAGTGCACCAGCGTCTGTTTTTCTTTTTCGCACCTTTCTTGACTTCATTTTGGTTTGAACTAAATTAATGTTAAAATGCATGAGAAAATGGTTATGACTTATATACATTGGTTTTAACTTGCTTTGCTCACATGCAGTGATGAAAATATGATGAAAATAATTTAATGAAATTATTCCTTGGTTCTTCTCGCGAAGTCTCAGAAGTTTGACTTCATATGTGATCGAAAAGATTTGAGTTCATATATACAGCCAATTTTAAAAAAGGTTGTCCTTTGCAAACCTTAAACGCTAAAACTTAACCTTAAACTATAAGCGCGCAAAGCTTAGTGGGAGCACAAGTTTCAAGCTTAGTAGTTGAATATTGCAGCTATTTGTGAATGAATTGTTCTCTGCAGCCTAGGCTTAGGCCTTTACTCGATCGGCTGGCTTTGGCAGTTTTGAACTTTTGCCGTTTGGTCAATTTCGGGGCTAGCATTTGGTAAGTATCGGCATGTTATCACCTAGAGGTCCCAGTCTTCAAATGTGAAAAAGCGCTGAATATTAAAAAAAATAAAATGCCTAGGTCTAGGCTAAAACTGGAAAGCAGACTTAAACCTCAAAATAGAGAGAGTTAAAAATTAGCAATAGATTAGCTACATGAAACATATTCCATTGTTTTCAAAATGTATATATAAATTAAATTGCGGCTTAATTGTCATGCATGAGTGAATACGTAAAACTATTTGGACTTACCTTCGACATCAGATGGGTCTACCGTTGTTTTGGGTGGAACCTCAGATAGGTTTATCGTTGTTGCAGGTGGAACCTCAGATAGGTTTACCGTCGTTGTGGGTGGAACCTCAGATAGGTTTATCGTTGTTGCAGGTGGATCATCATCTAGGTTTATCGTCGTTGTGGGTGGAACCTCAGATAGGTTTATCGTTGTTGCAGGTGGAACCTCAGATAGGTTTACCGTCGTTGTGGGTGGAACCTCAAATAGGTTTATCGTTGTTGCAGGTGGATCATCATCTAGGTTTATCGTCGTTGTGGGTGGAACCTCAGATAGGTTTACCGTCGTTGTGGGTGGAACCTCAGATAGGTTTACCGTCGTTGTGGGTGGAACCTCAGATAGGTTTACCGTCGTTGTGGGTGGAACCTCAGATAGGTTTACCGTTGTTGCAGGTGGAACCTCAGATAGGTTTACCGTCGTTGTGGGTGGAACCTCAGATAGATTTACCGTCGTTGTTTTGGGATGAACGTCAGATGACCCTTCTACATTGATATGTATTACTGAAGAATTCCCACTCGGTGCTACGTTTGCAAGTACACTTTCAAGTTTACTCTGCCGCTTGTTTCCATCTTTATTTCCAAATTCTATAAAATTCATCGAATAGTATAATTTCACGAACTGTCTTTCTCAATATTGTATGCGAAGGAATATTATATATATATATATACATATATACATACATACATACATACATACATACATACATATATACATATATACATATATACATATACATATACATATACATATATATATATATATATATATATATATATAGCTTAAGATTTTGGTTCACGAAACATAAACAGTGCTCAATACCATAGAGCGTAATATACTTCTTCGTTTTACCTCAAAACAACCACAACAGTCTGTTTCATCCATATAGGAATCATCAGGAGGTCCCTATACGGATGAAACAGACTCTTGTGGTTTTTTGAGGTAAAACGAAAAACTGTATATATATATATATAAAAATATATCTATATCTAAAATATATCTAAAATATATCTAAAATATATCTAAAATATCTATATCTATATATATATATATATATATATAACAATTCAAGTTTTCTTGATATAGTATAGAGTGCTCAATACTTTATTGTAGAGCTAAATATATTTAATTATTTATGAAACAAAGTACAAAACAAACGTTGTTACTCAGAGTTTCATGCCTGAGTTTACAGACAATCTTTGGACAACTAAAGTTCTGTTAACTAAATTTGACGGTTTTAAAATTTGCCGGGTTTTGTGTTTTTTTTTTACGGGGTTTTTTTTAAACCGTCAAATTTAGTTAACAGAACTTTAGTTGTCCGAAGATTGTCTGTAAATTCAGGCATGAAACTCTGAGTAACAACGTTTGTTTTGTACTTTATTTCATAAATAATTAAATATATATATATATATAAACATGTTCTACCTACTTTCATCTAATGCAGCAAGATGTTCTTCTTTAAACCACAACCTCTGGATATGGGCCGCGTTGAATTGTTTCCCTAAAGCTTTAAATCGTGCCTGCACTCCCACACACCCGATTTGTTTCCTCTTGATATAGCTCCTGATAGAGTTATCCGTTATGGATTCCATAGAGATTGTATTATCATTAGTGTTCATATGTCTCTTTAAACATTCACTCGTCGACTTAACGTGAAAAACGACGGAGGCACCACACATGCATTTCGTTGGATTAAAAATGTGGCAGAAATATTCAGGTACCTAAAATAATATACACTCATGATGTACATATGTTACATGTCAAAAGAACTGAAAGCCGAAAGTTAACTTAGTTTTCCTCGTTGATCATATGACTTGTCGGGCTTCGCCCTCGGACTTTTACAAATCATCCAGTTGAATTGTGATTCTACCTATATAACGGATATATGTGATTTACAGGTAAACTACGTGAAGCGTTCCTCTTTTGAGTTTCTAAATTGATTGCAATTTTCCTCATTACTTTTGCAATTTAAAAAACTCCCTTGCAAATCCCTTGAAGGAATTTGCAATGTTGCTAAAAGCCAAAAAAATTTTCCTCAGTTCCTGTTAGAAGTTCTTAACTTCCTGTTACAAGTTCCTAACTTCCTGTCCTGTTCTGAGCGTTGCAATTGGCTAACAAAAATAATCGACCAATAACAACGCTCAGAACAGAACAGGAAGTTAGGAAATTAAAACAGGAAGTTAGGAAAATTTAAAATGAAGTTTGGAATATTGCAACAGCCGATAGGAACATTGCAAATTCCCTCAAGGGATTTGCAAAGAGTTTTTCAAATTTGCGAAGCTAATGAGGAAAATTCCAAATGAGTTACGAAGTCAAAAGAGGAACGCTTCACGTAGTTTACCTGTAACACTCTCAAACATGAACTTTTTTTAGGTTTGCGAGTGTTGAATCAAATATATAGGTAGAATATCAAAATTCAACTACGGCATGACCATCGCGGTCATCTGACAGACCGCCATACATGAATTATATGAGTTGGTAGGCCTTTTCATTTTAAAGCACTTAGGCAATGAGGAATTTGGCAATCAAAACATTGGACTTATAGAGATGCAGGGCCGCCGAGAAGGTGGAGGGGGGGAAATTGCCCCGGGCGCCGAGATGCTGGGGCCCTGGAAAATTTTTGTTGGGCCCCAGTCATTTTTGTGGGTTAAATATTTCCGCGCTAACGGCAAGATATTTGTTTTTTTTGGGCCGAAATTTGGTATGAAAAACGGAGATAAAGTCCGTGGAAAGCAATTACAACGCACTCGTCCTGAAAAATATTTTCCCTAAAAAGTTGTCGATAGGCAGCCGGTTTCGTGCATGCACTTAAAAATTAACGCCGAAATATATAATAATTATCAAACACATATAGCGGTCTTGGGGCATTTAAACTTACTTTTTGTGGTTCGTCTGCTAATATCGCAGGAATGAGATGTTCGTAGAGAATATCTCGGATGCTTTCCTCACTGCTCTTCGCGGCTCCAGTTGTCTCAACGTTCGTTGTGTAGTTGTTTGGTGGTATATAACTCGGAAGATTTACAGTCTTCACCTTTTGCCAAACGCCTTCGTAATCTTCTGCAAGACCAACCTTTTCCAAAATCTATTATAAAATCCATCAAAGTCTATATACGAAGCCATGTCTGAACATGCATAAATATATGAAAAGGGCATGCATGCGCTATACATGCGTGTTTAAATATAAAAGAATCTCGTAATACAACCTCGTTCGCAGGGCTTTTCCCTTTTTGTCATTGGCAAGGCGGGAAAAGGCCCTGGCACCGGCCGGTCACATGACTTTCAACACCCAGATATAGTGGGTGTAATAAATTATAATAATAATTAGAAAATCCAAGATGGCCGCCAACGTAAGAGTGACCACAAAATTTAAGTGCTTAGAGCGGCTTAAAAATGTGTTTAGTCTTTGAAATTTTTCCTTCTTTTTGCTACCGACGTACTCGAAATCAAATTCTTCAGCTTTTATTACATGGGAACTATGTAGTTGCTGTTCTTCCAACTGGGTTTGGTAAATATCGTTCGTTCGCTAAACAAAATTAACAGCCAAAATTATTATAGTTTTACGACAGATGTTCTCCAGCTGGACAGGCTTGCTTTATAAGAGGACACAGAAAGTGTCTTGAACTGGGGATGTTAAACTTGGTTTTACCCTTCCAAAGACCCTGCTGTGCGACGATTGGAGCGAGTTTATGAGGAATATTTTATACAGTGATTCAAGGAAATGTACTGTATATGTTATTGATCTATTGTTGAATGTCACTTATGCACCTATCAATGTTAACCCCCAGAGGGGGGGGGGGGTTCGGGCATATGTGGGGTATTTGATCATCAATTGCAACCCCACCCTGGGGATTTTGATTAGCATTTTGGCCCCGAGTTGGGGCATTCCGAACCGAATGACTTTTATTAATATAGTATTTATTGCAATTTATTGCAAAATGGTGGGGTATTTGACCAATATTTATTGCCTGACGGTGGGGCATTTGATTGAAAAGTTGCTCAAAAAATCAAATGCCCCAACTATGGCCGACTCCCCCTCTGGGGCTTAACATTGATAGGTGCATTATATTATAAAGTGTCAATGGTTGGAATATTTATTCATTGATATTTTAAACACAGATGAAGAGCTATGTGCCCTTTGCTTGTTTACGTTTTCCTTGCAGCCAAATGCTGTTGAAGCTGGCAAGCTGCAGAACTGACATATGAGTGATATGACCCAAATATTGGATATGCATCTTAGTTTGCTTCCAGTAAAATGTAAACAAGACCTTAAGAATTCTATATGAGATAAGAAATATTACATTTAAAATCATGACTGGCAAATTAACATGTTTCGAATGTTGGCGAATTGATGTTTCCTAATAATAGTATGTACTCCAGTAAAGCTTGCTTGCTTCAATTCTTGCCGTTACCATCTGCACATTATCAGGGTGGAGAGTTGATTTGAATATTTTGTCCTAGGGCATAAAGGTAGGGAATAGATTTTCCATCACAAAAGGGGCAAGGTGCCCAACAGTTAGAAGATGGCATGTACTTTAAGTGACCATTCATTATACCCTAGGGTGGGTGGGAGATTCTTATGTCAAAATGTCATGGGACCCCTTTTTTAATCTCTTAATTTAATAATGGAGACCCCTCTTAAATATTTATTTATATAACATGATGCAATTCTAATCTTCATTCATGTGAATGCCTGGCTATGAAGAAAATACATTTTGCAACTGACAGGGATATCCCCAGCATGATCTGGTGTGGGGGGGGAGGGGGTGCTCTGCCAGCTCTGGTGCCGAGTCGTGTTGGTCATGTGTGCCACCTGCCCATCAACTTGCTTCACTACTGCAAAGTCTTGCTTTACTACTGTATTTGAATTGTAATTGTTGTTCACAGCTCACTCATCATGTTATTACTCAAATTACTGCATCTCATTTTGCCTCTAATAATTTTTTGCTTTAATTATCATGAAAAATAGCACCCCCCTGGCCAGGGCTAGGGGGTGCATCCCCCTCCAACCCCTTCCCCCCCCCGTGTAAATCCATCCTTGTTGCAACATACACTATAAGAGCTAGAATGATTGCTTCCTTTGGATGATTTGTCTTAGAATTATATTGCCTCTATTACAACAATTCTTCCTATTCTGAAACCAGTTGCTATTCTGTGTTTTACAACACTCCCCCCCAGAAAAAAGACTCAACAAATCAAGGCCCCCTCCAAGGCAATTTTGCCAGCACAATAGATTTAATTTGATGGTAACTGTTCTGAGAATATATTAACTCATTGAGTGGCAGCATTCTGCCTAGACTTGCCACAAGTCGACCTCGAAGAAAACGCAAGCAGCGAGCGTGAGCCGACGTTTCGTTCGAGGTCGACTTGTGGCAAGTCTACAATCTGCCCTTGAGTAAAATTGTCTGGCACCAGACGGAGTAATATACTAAAGTAGGGCACATTGCCACTATAAAGGGTTAAACAAATTAAAAAAATGTTTGCAATGGTCTATATTCAAAAAGCTGTATTTGTAAATTTTAATTGACTTTTATATACCTACTTATACTTATAGTTATAGCCACCTTGCCCCAGTCACTTCAAGTGAATTCTACGGGAGGAGGGGGACATTGAAAATCCCTGGATTTACTTGGTAAAAGCAAGAATTGAACCATGCATTACATGTATATGGAGAGCAGTTTTAAATATATTTTATCATGCAAATTCCTTGATAATTGTTCTTAAACGTCTTTGGCTTAGAATGGGTACACCCCCCAAAGGTGTTTATATATTTACAGGATCCAAAGGTGTAAATATACACTGTCCAAGGTGTTTTAAAATATAAACAACGAAACAATGTATATAATTAAATTTTATTAAATAAAATGTGGAATATTTTACAAATTGCAATTACCATCCCAAAGTGTACAATTATCAATATAAGTTGGAGTTAGAAGCTGTTCACATGAGTTTGACTCTGACCCAGCACCCTTGCCTAGCTCCCCTTGCCCGATCACAAGTAGAAAACCTCCAAAGAGGCAGGATTTTCTGGAATATTATTAGCAGTGAAATTGTTGCATATTTTCAACCATGCATTGTAACCTGATTTTAAAGCCTGTTTGAGCATCAAACATTGTGGCAATGACAAGATGGTCCAGCCATATGAATAAAATGTTAAAATATCATAAAAACAATGCAATTTAAGGCCAGACAGCCCAACTCCTGTGAACAGTCCTTTATTACACATTCGGCATTGAGGCATCAAAGTACAAGCATGCACATGGAATTACATACGAGTATGTGACATAAGCCCACCATTGCACAACTTTGTCTGCAACAATGCAAATACAATCAAGCTGGAAACGGATTTTATCAGTATTTTGATATATACATTATGGCTCATGTCTAAAGACACCTGCACTTTCATATTGAAATTGTTCTAATATCATCAAAACAAAACACATCAGAAAACTGTAACATCAGCCAAATGAGCAAATCACTTTTTTAACACAATTTATGGTAAAATGAAACATGTAATAGTATCTGAAACAAAACCAAATCACATATTATTCAAAAGTTACAAACACTGTTGTATATTTAAATAATTAAACAAAATATCATCGCATTTATAGAGTAGTGGTAATTAACTATAAATTTAATAGGCCAATTTAAACTCGACTATGAAGAATATCAAAAACTAAAGGTCATGTTTCAGTTTATAAACCCAGTTTGGTTTTATAAATATAAACATTAACGCTATACGAAGGCACGAAGCCCATGATTGAATGAAGGAAAATTTTGCCCTAATTTACCGCCGCCACAAAATACTCGGCCAGAACCTCAGAGGTGTATTCTAGCACACAATTAATCTTCTCTCACAGTTTAAAACAAACAGTAATACTAACCTTCGACAAATTGTGTACAAATCTTATCGAATTTAACCATTATGCCACAGATTTTGCCAAAAATATTTCTTAGACGGACAAAGTAATATTATCGACACTCCTTGCGTGAAAATGTTAATTTATCCCGAGGTTTGAATAAATTAATCCAAGATTGCATTATTTGCATAATAATATACTTGTAATTGACCAATCAGAATACATAGAAGACCGGCCGGTGCCAGGGCCTTTTCCCGCCTTCCCAATGACAAAAAGGGAAAAGCCCTGGGAACGAGGTTGCTCGTAATAAAAATTAAACCACGTAATTGCTTTTTTGTACTGTTTAATAAACGAGCAGGAGTGTTTTATTAAAGACCAAATAAAACACGTCCTGCGAGTTTATTAAACGGCTTCAAACACGACTACATGTACAAATTCAATAGATATATACTTACTGCCTTATTAGTATTCTTTATGTAAGAATGAGGACACGACTACAATAGATACTACCTTATTAGTATTCTTTATATAAAGAATACTAATTAGGAGTGTTTTATCAGGTTTAAAGCCACTGCACGTGACATATTGTGGTTGACATGATTTGCCAATAACCTTATGAATTATTAATGAGTGTTTGAAATTCACTATAAAAGCACAAGGATTTTCCACGACCCATTCTAATAAGTTCCAGACGAAGGGCCTATGCTCGAAACGTTTAAGTACTAAACGTCTAATTTTTTAGGTATATTGATATATATCTATTCACACTTGGAGCCTCGTTTTCGTGTTAAAGCTTATTTCCACATTTATTGGTCAAAATCCAATTTTTTTTTATGATTGTGTTTAAGAAGGATGTTCTACTTCTCTGCTCATAGCCTGTGAGAAACAAACCCCTTAAACTATTCCATTGCAAATTTCATAGTATGGATTTCACATATTTTCCCAGTGTATTACCTTCTTGGCGCAAAAGAGCTGTAGGCTCATCATGTCGCTCACTCTTTGTTCTAGTATTCCTTTCCCGCAGTTCAAACTTCTACAAACGTCTTCCACGTCTTTAACAATTTCGAAGTAGTCAGGATCTTCCGTATAGTTTTATATGCAATTATTGATGTAGGCTGTAACAATGCCTACACTTTTATAAGCATTCTTGGTAGCTTGACGAAGATTGATTTCAGCCGCTATCTTCTCTTTTCCAATTAATCGCGGTTCCATTTTCTCAAATGAAATCCTGATTAATCTTGTATTGATTCTGCAGAAATGTAACGTAGTGATCTTTACAAACCATTGTCATAGTGAGTCAATTTAACGGCCTGCACATGCATGCCATGTATTTTGTCGACTAACCTTTTTTCAAACGTTTCTAGGTTTGTTGTTAGCATCGGAACCGTTAACAGACTTAAGCACGATTTCATAGATGCGCTACCACCCTAAATAGTTTAAAATTACAAAGATCAAAAGCAAGTATACTATCTCCAAAAGCACGGAGTATGCTGTATGCATGAAATTAGTGTTCTTGTCATGCATATATATGCAGTGAATGTAGAGTTTATTTTGCCAGTGGTGAGTCAGTGACAAATAGAAAAGAAATTGACTCAATAGGCAAGCGAATAAATATTCTATGCATCTGATGAAGCGCTTTTTACCATCATGGAGCGCGTTTTCTGGATTCAATAAAAACTGCCTGAAAAACTGATACAATATATATATATATATATATATATATATATATATATATATATATATATATATATATATTACCGGTACTGAAATAGATTAACAAAGTTGGCGGTTTAATTAAATACATACTCCATTAAAAGAATTCACGACCACACTCGCTAACGTTTTTATGTTCGAGACATCGTCCCAGCCAAAAGGTATCGTGGAAACAGATTGCTTGTTTTCAATATACCGTTGAGTCGACTCTACATAAAAAAACCTAGGTTGGTTAATAATGTCGTTACTGTCTCTAGGTTTTTAACCAAAACGTTGAACAGTACAGTACAATATAGTACAGTACATTACATTACATTACATTACATTACAGTACAGGAGTACATCTCGCATCCAATTAAAGCCTTTTAGAAGCATAACAACTTTTTTGGCACTTTGCTGTTAATGTAAAAATATAAAGGATATTACACGGCAGCACGAAGATATGACTTTTATCCTCGAGTCGTAAAACAATATTTTACGAACGAGCGCAGCGAGTAAAATATTGTTTAACACCAGACGAGAAAAGTCATATCTCCAAGCCAACGTGTAAATTATGTAATGTGAGATTTAAAAAAAAAAGTTTAAAAATGCTTTAAAAAAGAAAAAAATAAGTTTAAAAAGTTAGATATTCAGAAAAGTTTAAAAAGTTAGATTATAGGGGTTAGGTGCCGCGAATTTATCATGATGATAAATTTAAAATGTGCTGCGAATTTATCATAATGGTAAATTCGGACGTGTTTAAGAATTTACTCATGTTGTGAACATGCTATCTCACAAGTGAGCGCAGCGAACGAGCACCATTGTATTTTTCTGTTTGTTATATGAAGATAGTCTTTGAAAAGCGAAAATTTTTACAGAAAAGCGAAAATTTTTACAGAAAAGCGATAATTTTCACATGGGAGATTATCATTAATAATCTCAGATGTGATACTATCACTTTTATCAGTGTTCGAAATCTTTGTAAAGCACTATACTTTATATAATAAATATATATAATATATATACTTACCACTAATGCATCGATGTATCCCAAATACGCCCAATGCTGCTTTGAGCGCTGTGGTTTTGCCAGACACTGGTTGTTGTCCTTTTAGAAAAGGTACTGAGCAGCCTTCATACCTTTCAATAATTGTGCTATAATTGGCTGCCATGCTGCTGACAGCATGCGTCAGAACTACCTGCGGGTAATTATTTTGGAATAAAGCCTTTTCTGCTACAAGCAATTGCTTTAAAGCTATCCCATCATCCAAGTCTAAAAAAAATTGACTGAACAAACAACTGAACTTTTGAATTTTATAGTTGAACTACCATCTTTGAAAATTCCAGAAATTAGCATGAAACGGCATATCATGTCAACTTTGATTTAGGCAATATATATGATGTTTTCACACAATTTCAAGTTTTCCCAATTTCCACGAGTGTTGATATAACTAGTGCAATATAAAAAAACTCTTATTGCTGTGGCAATATTCAAATAGAATATACTACAGTAGTATATTCTATTTGAATATTGCCACAGCGATAAGATGAAAGTACAACTTGAAAATAAGGATGCGTGGAAACGGTCAAAATAGTAAACATGTCTGGATGATACATGCCACATGGTCGTATGACTTTAACAATCTCTTAATTGAAGGCATTGAACCTAATAGTAAGATAATCTAAGATTATCCAAATCAATTTATATATCTAGTATGTGAAAATGTCATTTACCATCTTTAATGTTGAGCAAGTACGGCAATGCACTTGCTTCCATGCAGACATATTCCCGCTCTTCATCGGGACATTGTGGGACAGTTGTACTGAAAGTGAAAGCGATCTTCTTGAACACGTTCAGTATGAAGCAGCGAAACTCGTGACAGGGGCTATGAAAGGAACAAACAAGCATCGTCTCATGAGAGAAGTAGGGTGGGAAAGTATGTCAACTAGAAGGAAAATTCACAAACTTACTTTATATTATAAAATTGTAAATAATTGTAGTCCCAGTTACTTAAGTGACTTACTTCCTTTTCAAGTTCGTCGGAGGACACAACATAAATTAAGAAATTGTATAGATTACTCACTCTTCGCTTGTCGAACAGAACGGTTTAGGAAAGCCTTTTTTCCTTCCACGACAATATTATGGAATAATCTGAGCAATGAGATACGTTCTACAGATTCAACTACACACTTTAAGAACAGTCTACTAAATGTATTTGACATATGTAATCCTAATCCTATTTTAAATTTTGCAATTGATAGGCATTCTTCTATTTTCCATACTCGTTTGCGATTAGGTGTATGTGCACTAAACTTATATTTGTATGGCATAGGTTGTAAAATGTCTCCATCATGCAGGTGTGGCTATCACACTGAATCTATAAAACATTATTTTCTCTACTGTCCAATATTTGCTGCCCAAAGGTCTAAGCTGTTCTCCTCCGCTGCCGAGAAACTTCCCGAAGGGTGGTCAAGATTGAAGGATGAACAAATTATAGAAATATTTCTCTTTGGTTCTCAAATGCTGTCGTTGGAACACAACACGGCAATATTTTCTTATGTTCAGACTTATATTAAAGAAACAGCACGTTTTTATTTCAATAATTCTTGACACCTATCGTGTTAGTTTTCAAATATTAAAAACCGTGTGTGCGTGACAGTGTATTTTTTAATTTCTAACGAGTAAGCCCCCTAGATGAGTGTGTACGCTCTTGGGGCAAACTCAATTTTCCAAAATATGTTTAAATAAAAAAATAAGAATTCCTTCTTTGTCAATTTGGATTTTTGGGTTAAACACCCACACACAATTATCAGGTTGTTTTCCAACGACCTATTTAATAAACAGGAGTTTTAATTTTAGGGAGCCAAAAAATTGATTCAAAGCATTACCACACTCCAGTTCTAATCAATTTATTTTTCACCCTGCTCGGTTTCCTTTGTTCTTGTCGGGGAATATATTCAATATTCCCCTCTAATCAATTTCCGTTTAATAATCCCCTCCAATATTCACCTGTAATTAATAATCCCCTCTAATATTCACCTGCAATGTCTTTGCAGCACAATAAATGAGAAAAAACAACATTGCGAAGGCAATATGGCATTAAGAATGATTTCTTTTCTAACTCATTAACGCGACCTCGCAGTGTGAAAAATAAGTACGTTATTTTGAGGCACCTCGGGGATATGTGTTTATTCACCTCGGCGCTGCGCGCCTCGGTGAATAAATCACATATCCCCTTGTTGCCTCAAAATAACCTATACATATTGCTATTAAAAATAACAAACAAGAGTTTCAAATAACGACGGAATAGGAACATAAAACCTCATGATGCAGTTGCAAATGGAATGATATTGATGTCTTTTGTACATTTTAGTAAATTAATAAGGGACCGGTCATTATTTATGGCCGGGGGGGACCTCTGAAGAGAAAATGGGTGGGTAAACAAAATTTTATGGGTGGAAATGGGCGGTTCGAATAAAAATTCACCAAGCCAAGGGGTGGTAAATTGCTAGATAGTATACTTTAAAATAAGGTTTCCGTTTTTATATCAATTTTTTAAATAAGTTAGGGTTAGGTTACGTTGGGGTTGGTCTAATTGAATGAGTGCTGGGGTTGGGTGGAGAACATTTTTTTTTGAATGTTGGGCCACTAAAAAATTTGGCCAGGAAAATATTTATCCTCAGTGCCCCCCCCCCCATAAATAATGACCGATCCCTAACTCTTAAATTACTGACTTTTTGGACTTTTTTGTCGGATTTTACATAATTTACCTTTAACTATGACTGTAGGATGCTGTTTTTAATAAGTAGGGCAAACTATATATTTTTAGAAAGCTAATAGAATGGAGAATATATAAAAATAAGTTTTCAAAAAAATATTTTGGTTTAGCATATTCAGGGGGGGGGGCTTAATTAAAATTTTCCAATGATAAATTAGCATAGCATGAATTTTCATGCATAAATCCAAATATCTTCACCAAGTCAGTTAAATTAAAGAACACAAATGATTATACAATTACTTTATGGTTTCCGTGTTTGCATGGCCGGATCCAAACACGCGGGAATCAGTGCGCGAGTCAGAAAAGCGTGCAAAACACGAGCCGAAGGCCGTCAGTTTGCGCGTTTTTTTTTAACTCGGGCAACATTCCCAAGTGTTATCAAACCATCCAAACACGGAAACCATAAAGTAATTGTTTTATAAAATAACAACTTTCCGTGTTAAAATTTCACTTTAAAAAACGTTCACTTTAAATTTCTGTGTTTGGATGGCCTGATCCAAACATGGGTTTCGACCAATCAGAGCACGCGTTATATACATGTTATTTTATAATAACATTTCAATCATGCATACCTCAACTGGTTTAAATCTTTTGATTTGTTCCTTTGGCGTGTTCATATATAATCTGCATAAATTATATATGTATTGGGGCAGAAACGTATCCTTTGATTGCGCTATCCACAAGGCTTTAAATTTTGCAGTAAGGCAATTTATTATTGTGATGTGGTTGCCCATTTGTTTGTTGGTCAAAAAGAATTTTCTAAAATACAGAAAAAATAACATTAAAAAACAAAATAAATGCATACACATTTATCGGGGTAATACCATATTCCATTACTTTGGACTGGTTCGCAACATTCCAAAATTATAGATATATAAGTATAAAACTCTGGGAAAGTGCTGTGCATGCAGAGGAATAAAATTGCTATGTCTCTCAGACAATAGTCAGTACATTCAACACAGTATGACGGGTTTTCTCACTGAACTGCCTTTATAGTAGGCCTATATAAGCTCAAAGCTGTTAGTGCTTTTAATTAAATATGGCCGTCTCATATGCGTGATGTTTTGAAATTTTATTACGAATAATTCTGTCAGTAATAGCCTGAATGTAATATCTGCCTTAATGAAATGGGCTATTAGTAAAACACGGAGCCAATGAAATGTCGTCCAAATAAACACTCGATCCAACATCAGTGGCGCGCGGTGTAAGTATAGCACATGCAGGCAAAATTCATACCGCTCTTAATTTAAAGCACGTTCACATTTCCGGCACGAGGCGAAAATTCATTTCGGCAATATTATAACCCATGCAGAAGAGAGATAACTACCATGCAGGGGCCGGTTGTATAAAACGGTATTTTTAAAGCTAATTTACTACTACATACAATCTCTCTTATATGTGATTATGATTGGTTAGCGAAAAAATCGTTGCGAATGGCAATTTCGCTAGCCAATCAAATATTCAAATTCCGCCTAGTTAAAAACGTTCTTTTTTAAGCAGTTAATCAGTAATTATCACGGCGAATTTATCATCGAAACTAGTATAGGAAAAATCATTGCAATAATACAATTATACTTTGCAATAACGTTGCCGAATTCAGTTTTCGCATCTCATCTACGAAACAATTCGGGGCGTTGTAAAAACCCGGAATGCCAGAATTTTCTAATTGGCTTATTTTTGTTAAGGGACCAATCAGAGGCTTTGTTTACATACGGGCTTGTGAATTTCAGTATGAACTTTTGAACTTCACAACGAAGTTCGCAACATTCATAGCCTGCGTGGCAGGCCCTCAAATTTATGTGGGGCCTGATTTGCAGCGGGCAGGATTTTGGCGGGCTCCGGGGCCCAAAATCCTGCCCGATGCAAATCAGGCCCCCCATAAATTTGAGGGCCTGCCACGCAGGCTACAACATTCACGGAAAAGTTATATGAAATCAACTGTAAAATTCGTGAAATTATGTATGAATATGGTATTTAATAACAAGTTGATATTTAAGGCATTTCTTGGGTGGCCACATGAAATGGCATCCAGGGGCGTAGGAAGCTTCGAAAAGTTGGGGGGCCACACTTTGAGGGGCACTTTTCGGAAAAAAAGGGCATCTAGAAGGGCATCCGTCGCCAAAAAATTTTCGGTCAGTGTACCGTTTTAGGGGTAAAAAAAATTTTCCGGACATACCAAATTTTTTCCTAAATACGAAAACATTTTCCCGCACATACTAAAAAAAATTCCGGATATATCATTTTCTTTCCCAAAATTAAAACATTTTTCCAGAAATAACATAGATTGAAGTTTTCAAAAGTGCCCTTTGATCAAAAAAAGGCCACTTTGCTCCTGGAAAAAGGGCACTTGTCAAAACTTGGGGGAACCCTTCGGTTCCTATGCCCCTGATGGCATCAACATGACAACATCCATAAACTTTTGCATGCCCTGAGCATATGGGAAGAGGTTATTTGGCTGGAGTGACAAAACGTAACAAAGCAACCAGGGGCGGATCTAGGGGTGATCAGAGCGATCACGCGACTAAGGTAAAAATTGGCTAGAAAAATGGAAAATTGTTAAATTTAAATTAAAAAAGCAGTCCAGTTGTCAAACTTCGCGCAGTGTAATATATTGAAAGTTTAACAGTCCAGTTTTGAAATATCATTCAGTATCAAGGTCTTCGAACATGAACGCGCAGAAAAGCGGTCTTACGCATGAGTTTTGCACGCTCTGAGTCAGATTCCAGCCATCTGATTGGCTATCTCGATTTTTGCGCGATCTGTGGGGAGTTCTGATCGCTAAAGCGATCAGGGGCTCGAATGCAGGCTATCCGATTGGCTAATTCAAAACAATCCTGAATTCCCATTGGCTGGATTTTTTTGATCGATCATACCGTTCAGGCCTCATTAGTGCACACGGTGCACGGAAAGGTCTATGACGTTTCTGGCCCTTTCTGATCGCTACTTTGCCTTGATCGCAAATTATTAAAGATCTATGGGAAGATTTACTATCAGAAAT